GTGTTGCCACAGTTGAATGGACAAAGGTTACCAACATAACAGCTATGGCCAGCTGGGAGAAGGCATGTTCTCTGGTCATGATTCTCAGAGGCAGGTTACATGATTTCCACCTGTTGGGAAACCACTAGAAAGATGGTTCCTCTTCAGACACCTAGCTGGCCTGAGGATCCTATACTGGGGCCTCTCTCTTCTCTCTTCACACTGGCCAGAATAAAAGTGCATTCTGTGCTTCCCAACATCAGAGCTACCCTTCCTCAAAGTTTCTTCTAACCACCATCATGTTCAGGTTTTTAAAAGCTACCACTTACTTTCCTTCTGGGATATTTGGATGTTTGAGAGAGATATCTTTCCAAAAGTTTTATGTCCAAAGCAGATACTAATTTTGAGAAAATACTTATTTCTTGGCCTAAAATGAGAAGATGTATGAATGGGGAAATAAGTTACTTGGGTGTGATAATTGCGTAGCTGGCAACATTAAGTTTATATCTCTTTCAAACTTAGTATGTTTGAAAGAGATATTAACTTTTAAATATTTTTATTGATTTCAGAGAGAAAGGGAGAGGGAGAGAGAGATAGAAAATCAATGATGAAAGAGAATTATTGATCAGCTGCCTCCTGCACGTCCCACACTGGGGATCAAGCCCACAACCCAGGCATGTGCCCAGACCGGGAATCGAGCTGTGACTTCCTAGTTCAGCCATAGGTCGATGCTCAACCACTGAGTCACACTGGCCGGGCTAGATATTAATTTTTAATTATGAGAAGTGGTAACCTGTTATGCCCTCAAAACCACAGTGTTTAAAAATGCTTTAAAAAATTAACAAATAACAGAAAAATACTATAATGAAATTGATTCCAATTGGCCAAGATGCTCACTTCTCTCTTGATAAATCAGTGTTAATCATTATTTGCCTACATTAAGAAAGTGTTCCTGTTAGAGGTAAAAATAGATCCCTAAGTGTCTGTGTGAAACCCTCATGAACACATGCATTTGTCATTCTTCAGCCAGGGTCAAGCAGCACTTAACCCATCCCACAGCAGCTCGGAGGATGACTCGCTTCTAGAAAGTTGCTGCTCTTAAACAGTTATGGTATCAGGAGACTTTGAGCAACAGACCAGTGATTTCCAAACACGTCTAAAGATGCAGGCTAAGCCAGGACACATCCTCTTTTTATCTTCTTTAAGTTTTGGAAGTTTGGGAAATATTCACTGCTGAAAAAATTTTCCTTGACAGAGTTAGGAAAGAACATTAATATTTTATGCTTTAAAAAATTAGATGGTGCCCTATCCGGTTTGGCTCAGTGGATAGAATGTCGGCCTGCGGACTGAAGGGTCCCAGGTTCGATTCTGGTCAAGGGCATGTACCTTGGTTATGGGCACATCCCCAGTAGGAGGTGTGCAGGAAGCAGCTGATCGATGTTTCTCTCTCATCGATGTTTCTAACTCTCTATCCCTCTCCCTTCCTCTCTGTAAAAAATCAATAAAAATATATTTTACAAAAATTAGATGGTATTAGAGGGTTTTTTAAATACAAAGGCAGGTGAAAAAAAATTTGTATTGTTTTGATCATTCTGATTAAGGGACAGAGAAGAAGGAAATTTCAAAAAATAAAATAAAATATGTTTTTATTGTTTTGAGTCAATATTTCATGCATGTTGATTTTCAAACAAAGGATTTTGACCTGAGAGTCATGGGGGCAGGTGGGAGTGGTGGAGGGGGAGAGGGCTGAGGAGAGAAGAGAAAAAAGAGAAAAGTTCTGTGCATGTGGGGAGCAGAGAGGTGTTTATGAATGTGCTCCGGATTAGAGGAGTGGTAACAGTGATGAGCTAATTGAGTTAGTAAGAGCATGAGGCCATGAATTTGACAGCCCTGGTTCCAAACCTAGCCTTCACCACTGGTTGTCAGTGACACTGGGGACAAATTATTTAACCTCCTTGCTTTCACCTCCTAATCTGTAATAGGTGCAGAGCAACATGAAATCTACATTGCTTTTAGAATTGAATGAGATCACACATAAAGCCCTGAACACAGTGCCTGGCCCAGCTTAAAGCTGCTGTTAGAGTTTTTATTATTCTCTTCTGGCAACAGATTTTTGCGGCTGTTTTGACAGTTTAACCTCACATCTCCACCAAGTTGCCAAAAGAGAATTTTCCATCCCTGCCCCTCTTAACCACACCCTGCTTTAATCATGAACCAGATTTCAACACCATCCCTGAGAGGTCACCACCTTCTACAGATTTTCTCTGTGTAGTTTTAAATTTCACTGCACCTACAAATGTTAAAAGCAATCTATCAACCAAAGTGATACTTAGCACCTCTTATTAAGAGACTGTACTGTTAGAGTATGCCCTTACAGTCTAGAAAGGGAAAACATGTTAGACATGAGTGAGGACATTCACAATACCCTCCATTCCAATGACTTCAAGACAGTACTCTATGTTTTGTTCAGGCAGGAAGAGTTTATGCTCTCTAAGCCGTCTCTCCAAGGGCTACCAATATCTCAGCAATGTCAGCATCATCCTACTCTGTCTACATAAGCTCCTATCTATCTATCTATCCATCCATCCATTCATCCATCCATCCATCCATCTATCCATCCATCCCTTCATTTATCTCACAAAATAGTTCCAATGATGGACGACTGTAGGTTTAAAAAATTTTTTCTCCTCACATTTGATTGATATTCTGTGTTTTTGTGTTGTTTTTTTTTTGTTTGTCTTTTCAGATTTCAATTTTGTCGTGAAACACACCACACCCAATTTATAATGTAATTATCCCCAGAACATTGGGAACTTCAATTTTGGAATGGATCTTGACAATTCAGTTATTCTCCATCTGTATCAGCTACTTCTTGTGCAATGATGGAAAACATAACTAAATCTGGCTTTAACAACAACAAAAGCAGAGCGGGGAGTAGAAGCTAATTTTTTGGCTCTCTGAACCAAAAAAAGGTAAGGGTAGAACCAGCTAGGGCAGTGGTTCTCAACCTTGGCTACACATTAGAACCACCTGGGAATCTTTTTAAAATCCTGATTTTCAAGAGAAATTTAAAAATCATCCACCAGCAATTCTGTTTCTTTGTTATGGGGTGGGGCCACAACATTAGTAACAAAGAAACAGAATTTCCAGAGGACAAGGCCCAGAAATCAGGATTTTAAAAAGATTCCCAGGTGATTCTGATGTGCAGCCAAGGTTGTGAACCACTGGGCTAAGGGCTTGACAGGTGCCAATAAACATTAATTGTGCTACACACTTCAATTCTACATTTTTAAAGTGGTTGCTTCATTCTTACATTCCATGAGATGGCAAGCTCCAAATCCAGTTGGCCCCAAGTTTATGTCTAAGAAAGAAGAGAGTTTCTTTTTATCCCCACCTCTCTTTCTCTCCAGTCCTATCAAAAGACACATTGGATGGGACCTAATGTTAAGGGGAAATAACAAGGTAATAACTCTTTTAGATTTGTGTGCTGTGCATACACAGTTTAAAACAAAACAAAATAAAACAGACATTCAAACAAAAACAGAGAGCAGCTTATACCTTTGAGATACATGAGATCCATAAAGATTATTCTCTCTTAAGTCCACACTTAACGTGGACCGAGGGTGCACAAGATGATGTGGTACATTACTGCTCCCTTTACTGAGAAAGCTCAGAGGGTTCCTGGGAATGCTCTCTATGACTTTAGGAAATCAAACAGAACACGGATTTGCCTGAGACCATACATTTTGGAGTCTGTGTTATCTTGGCCAAGGCTAATTCTTCATAATCATGATAGTTGTCATTTCAGAAAAATTTAGAATGACTTAAATTGTTATTGATGATTCATTGGATAGGAATGTACATGGTTTAAGTTTCATGAGGTGAGGAGAAAGAGCTTGTTAAATACAGTCAGGGCTTTTTTAAAGATTGTAGATAGAATTTTAAAGCAATTTAAATGAAAAAACTTTTCCAAACAGATTACAGCTGCAATCCTATATAATAAAAGCATATTATGCAAATTGTCCCCTCCACTAGGAGTTCGTCAAAGAGTTTGACCAGGGCACAGGGCCGGCTGGAGGAAGGGAGGGAGGCCCTGGCCTGCAGCAAGCAACCACTAGTGACCCTACCAGTGCGTGAATGTAGGGCACAGAGAGAAAGGCAAGGACTATGTGTTGCTATTTAGGCCTAATAACCCAAAGTGGATTAGTTGACATTTTTGCTTCCCTTTTATGGACATGGATCCAATATTCAGTTGTTCAAAAGCAAATTTCCAAGTGTGTATGTTTCCTAAGAAATTAATGTTTTTCTTTCTTCTGCTGGACACTTTTGAACTTAAAGAGAAAACATTTACAAGAGGCTAGATGGAAACTGGTATGAATTGTAAAGTGAAAATTTTGGATTATTCAAGGACTTTAATTATTTATGCTTCTTTTGGATTTAGTTAATACAAACTAAGTTGAATTGCTCTATCACTTTTTCATGTGTTACTAGTTTTCATCCTGTTGTAGTCCAAATATACCTTCTTTTGAAAAAAGCAGTGCTGAATATCCCAAGAATTCACTACGACACGGAACAGCCCCATCTTGAATGGGCGTATGTGAAAGTTGAAATCCGAAGTAAAATTTGAAGGCCTATTTACAAGCTTGCCCTTTAGTGTTCCCAATTTAGCCTTACTCCTCCCCACTTTTTACTGGCCTCTTTCTGGAAAGCTGGACAGCTCTTCAATGTTCAGGATAACTGCTCAAGTTACACTCTATATGGAAGCTCTGGCACTCTGCTAGTTTTATACGAGGGTTTTATTAAATCTATGCCAAACAGCTTCCCATCATTGGATCAGCTAAAGATGAAAGTTTTTTGCTCAAGTGACAACTTTGTATTAAAAGCAGTTTGTGTGTGTGTGTGTGTGTGTGTGTGTGTGTGTGTAAAGATGGATATTTGCCTATATCAGATACTGGGTTTTCATACTAACATACATCAAAGGAAAAGTTTGCTTCCTAACTGGTTCTCATGTTTTCTTCTAGTTGGCTTCTCATCAAGATGATTCAGAAAATGCTGCTGAGCTGTGGTGCACAAACAAGGACATGAGGTACTGGTGACTCAAACCTTATCAGATAGGCTGAGGATTCTCTGTAGAGTCCAGGGAGTGCGTGTCCACTTGAACAGACATGTAGGCAGAAACATGGGAAAACTTGGTTGTAACAAACTAAATGGAGAGTGCAGTGCATTTGTTTGGAGCATGTAAGCATTTAGCATTATGGTATGTGTATGGCAATTATTGAGAAGAGTAAAACCCATGATGGTAGCCTCATTATCCTCCCCTGTAGAAGAGTGGCACTTAATGGGTCCTAGAAGAGTCTTGTAAATTTTAGTAAAAATCAAAACTTTTTAATTGACAATTAAGACATTTGGCTATGATTATAAACTCAGAGAAAGACATGGGATTGTAGGCTTTCCAATCAGGTCTGAACTTGTTTGTTTGCTTTTCAACATTCGGGCTGATTAAAAATACTTTTAGTTGATGGAAATTTGGGTTGTTTCCAGCTTCGGGCTATTATAAATAAATCTTCTATAAACATTTGAGTACAAGTCTTTGGGTGGGTTATGTTTTTATTTCTCTTGAGTAAAAGCAAAGAGTAAAATTTGTGGGCTATCTGGTAAGTATATGCATGTTATTGGTATGGCTAAACATACAGAAGTGATTGTATAATTTTGCATTTCCACCAGCAATATATATGAGCTATAGTTGTTCCATATCCTTGCCAACACTTGGTATGGTCAGTTTTTTATTAATTTTTGCCATTCTATTGGGTGTGTATTTGTATCTTATTGTGGTTTTATTTGCATTACCCTAATGAATAATAATAACCTTGAGCATCTTTTTCTGAGTTTATTTGTTACCTTCATATATACTTTGGTGATAAGTCTGATAAAATATTTTGCTTATTTTTTTATGTTGTTTGACTTTTCATTATTGAGTTGTAAATATTTTTATGTCTGTTATATAGGTTCTTTGTCAGATACATTTTGGGGAAATATTTGCCTTTTCATTTTCTAAATACTGGTTTTAAATGAGCTAGCCTTTTAAATTTTGTTGAGCTTCAATGCATCAATTATTTTTTATCATTTACAGATTTTTTTTGTTCAATCTAGGATATCTTTAGCTGAAGGTTACAAAGATTTTCTCAATTGTTCTTTCAGAAGGACTATAGTTTTAGCACTTACATTTAGGTCTATAATCCATTTTGAGTTAATTTTTCTACATGATGAAAATAAGGGTCAAGTTTAATCTTTTTCATTGTGAATATCTAATTGCTCCAGCACCATTTGTTGATAAAATTACCCTTTCCCCATTGAAATACCTCAGCACCTTTGTCATAATACATTGACCCAATATGTGGGAAGAATTAACATCTTAATATTGAGTCTTCTAATCCATGGAAATGGCATATATCTCCATTTTATTTGTCTTTTAACTTTCTCTTCAGAATGTGTTATAGTTTCCAATGTACAGGTCTTTATAAGCTCTCCCTCCTACTCTCTACTCCATCTCCTCCTAGTAAGCATTGATCTGCTTTCTGTCATGATTAACCACAAAAACAATATGTAATTATATATGTGTTTTCTGATGGTCTTGGACGACCCTTGTGAAAGGGTCGTTCGACCCCCAAAGAGGTCGCGACCCACAGGTTGAGAACCACTGCCTTATATGAATATACCACAATTTGCTTATCCATTCACTGGTTGATGGACATTTAGGCTGGTTTTGAGCTATTACATATAAAACTTCAGTGAGTATTGGTATACATATATTTCTTTGAGTTCATGCTTTTATTTCTCTTAGAAAAATACCTAGGATGGAAAAGTTGGATTTTATGGTAGATGTAGGTTTAATTTTATAGGAAACCTGTTATCCAAAGTGGTTGCATAACTGTATATTTCCACTTGAAGTATATGAGATTTTCATTTGTCTCATTACTATATTAGTTCTAAAATTCATATTTTCTTTGACTATGTTAACTAAAAAATCTCTTTTGTATATATTTTAAAATACTCCATATTTGCATATTGACATTTCATTTATGAATTAAAGCCTTTCTAGATGCAACCACTATTAGGGGGCAATTAAATGTGGTGTTGCATTTTTTACTGTATTTACAAAAATTAGTATTTGATTCTATTCTATTCTTGTTCAAAGCTGAGATGTGAACCTGAGAGTGCAGCAACCATGTTTAGAGTTGGCCCAAGAGAATGGGACTGGTATGCAGGGAATGAAAGAGAAGAGAAGAGATACTAGTAAAGGTGGAGTTGAGACAGATTGATAGAATTCAAATCCCTGGCTTTAGCATTTGTTACATGAGATAATATATTTCACTTTTTGCCTTAAAAGGGGTACTACATGTCATCCCTGCTCACATGCTACATAATCTAGTTGATGAGGCCACAGTAACATAAGAATAATAACATACCATCCAATGAAAAGAAAAGGCAGAATATGACATCCTGCTAAGTGATACCCTTCTGCTTCTATTTTACCGCTTCTTGGGCTGAGGCTCCTGTGGTGTTTCTACAATATAATGCTTCTCCTATTCCTGCTCAAGAGCCTGGAGCTCCTGTGAGGCGTATGTGTACGGTATTTAGGTGGATGGTATTTAGGTAATGATATGTCTGCTTATAAAATACTTGTACAATTTTATAGTTTCATGCCTCATTTACTTATTTTAAAACCTTCACTCAGGCTTCATCACCATTAATAAGTTCTCAGATTTTTTTTTTTTTTTTTAGTTTTTAAGTTGAAAGGTGCTACGTTAAACATATTCACAAGTCATCTTAAGTGTTTGAAAGTTGCCCACAGATAAAAGATATTCAGACAGTAAACCTTTCTCTTATTGTGAATAAACAGACTGGTTCAAATAAGTATTTGCCTGCCCAAGCAGTCCACTTACCCATGAAAAAACTTCCAGTAGCAAGTAGTATAGTCAAGAATCTCTTATTAATAAAGCATTGCCATCATACGTACAGATGCACACCTACAAATCCTCTAGGATCAGAAATCTGATCAACTCCAAAATTACTCTGCTTATGCTTTGTCTTGACAAAGACAAACAAAAGAAAGGCGTAAAGTCACACAACTTTACAGTAACCAAGGACTAACACTTTTCTCTAAGGCTCTTCATCTCATGCAAGGCCAGCAGAGCCCTGTTCAATGAATATCATGGACTGCTGACAAGATCTGTATTTTTGTAATCTGGAAACTCCTAGAAGATAGCTTTTTAACTCTTTCTTTTCCACTCAGGAAAGAACTTAGTCAGATCATCAACTATAAATGCATTTAAAGTTCAGGGATCCTGGGGCCCATTGGTGTGATTGAATTTAATAAATATTCCATGTAAATTCCAAGTAGCTAAGAAACTGATTAGCTAAGGTACTGTGAGCATGGGAAATGCGAATGTAATTTTCAAGGTGATTGGCCTTACAGAGTGGATAGGCCAATAGAGAAACCAAGCCTATCAGAGCAATGCCTGGGTCTGCTTCCATCCAACCTGACCAAGGCAATCAAACCAGAGTTTTACCACCTGCCTACAGGTTCTGAATAAATTGGCAGCTACCCATGCTTCAGGGATTTGAAGGAGACTAGGGCATTTTTTTTTTATTAAAAACAAAACAAAACAAAAAACACACCCTAGCTGGTTTGGCTCAATGGATAGAGCATCGGTCTGCGGACTGAAGGGTCCCAGGTTCGATTCCAGTCAAGGGCACATGCCCAGGTTGTGGGCTCAATCCCCAGTAGGGGGCATGCAGGAGACAGCTGATCAATGATTCTTTCTCATCATTGATGTTTCTATTTCTCTCTTCTCCCTTCCTCTCTCCGAAATCAATAAAAATATTTAAAATATAACAAAAGTTCCTCACAAGAAAAAA